TGAGCTGAACTTTGCCATTATGACCGGTCAGCTGGTCAACAACACGGCTCACTAGGTAGTGATTAAAATCAGAGTTAATCGAGCGAAATTAATTCATCATCCAATCGTCAACTCGCGAGGGTGGATCGTAGATTGAGAATAATGTTAGCGACGTGTTATACGTAGGCGGATCAAATCATTCGGAACAATGTTTTGATAAAAACATCGATAGACTACAACCTTTGGCGATTCTGGCCAAACAATACAGATTCACTCAAAGTGACTTTTCGCAAATTAAGTTGCAAACAAGTAAAGAAACGATGAAATTGTATTGCTGATTTAATTTTATGTGCAAACATTACTTCAACAGAATTTTAATTTTTGGTTTGATTACAAAAATATTTTAGGAAATTTGAAGAGAATGACGAACAGTCTTTATCTAAATTAAATAAAAATTCTGTTTTCTCTGCCTTTTTTGTCTGCTTGTTTGTTCGTTCGTTTGAGTATTAAGTATAAAAATGACTGAGCTAATTTCTATGAAATGCAAAGCGTGTTTTATCATCGATCCGATTTGAAAGCAGCTTACATTTATTTGAAAAATTGAGATTTGATATATACACCAGTATTTTTTTTGCTGATAATAAGTTTACAGAATAAAATTTATTTCACGAAGAATTCTAGAAAATACAGTTTAGGATTCGTTTTCGTTATTTGCTGTATTCTTTCGCAACTTGCAGATTCTTTGATTAATAAAATTGTGTGATTATACTAGAGAGAATTTACAATTAATCAAAAAATCTACATTTTAATTTAGATTCTAAAAAGACCCTTCGTTCTTTTCAATAAAACCTAACAGGGTCGAAATTTTCCGCCTTAGTAGCGTTCTTATAAATTTGCTGTACCTTTTCATTCCTTCCACGACACCCCCGAATGGATTTCCCTGCCATCGTTCACTCTGTTCCTTCTTCCCGTTCTTCTACCTCAACGTGAGGGGCGATCTTGGGGTGAAACTAATTTTACGAGAAGTCGGCCGATCGCTTCGACTCTTTATTAGATTTCCTATGTCGTTCCGGGGCGGGAAGGGGGGGGGGCTGCCGAACAGAAAGGAATCGACGAACGGGAAAAATGTTCAAGAATGATTGCAAATGTTTTGGAATTTATTGCTAAACGTGACATCATCGTTCTTGTGCAAATGTGCAAAGATAGCGGTTTTGTTTTCAAAATTACCAATGCCGTTATAATTTTTTTTATAGAAAGAAAAATCTACTTTTTAAATAATAATTAACATAACAAGGATTTTAATACAATATTATCGTGATATGAAAAATATATGAGTTTATAGAGGAAAAATCTTCTAACAATATACGATATTTCTGAATTATCCTGGAGCTCATTTAAATAAAAATACAGATCTCTTCTTACATAAGCAAGATATCGGACAAAAGAATTTTTATATGCGCGGATGGGACCTTGTTATTTTGGTGGGAGAGCAAAAAGAACTTTGGAAAGAAAACGGGACAATTGGCGGTTCGACGAAGTCGCGTGAGGCAGCGACGGCGGTAATCGGAACAAATGGAAAAGAGCAACGGAAGAAATATTTGCGATTAGGGAAGGACGAAACTACGGGGAGTTGAAAAGGACAATAGACGGAATAAAAAGGAGATCCCTCACAAACTATCCGCGAGCGAACCAACGAGAGATTCTCAAGCAATATTTGTTGCATGTACGTACAAAGAGAAACAGACAGAGGGAAACTTGACGGAAATGAAGGGTGAAAGGGTTACGCGCATCGGTTGGGAGGGGGATGATGTGCAAGAGTAGGGCAGAGGTTGCCGGGTAACACAGTGAGGGTAGGATAAGAGTTCCCGGGGTGCCTAGCAACAGGTTGCTATCCTAAAATTTTGACCATTGGAGCGACACTGCGAACCTCGCCATAACGAGATATATATATATACACATATATGTACATATTCTTTTATACATATGTACGTACGTGACTTATATACTTTTTCAAACACGCTCGTATAAAATGTATCGATCTTTCAAACATCTACGTTTTATTTCTTATTATTTGCCACGAGGTTGGTTGTGTGAAAAGGGAAAAGAAAGGAAAGATCGGGATTATTTATGTGACCCTTTTGTAATTTTTGTAACAATAGTGATAGTAATAAATAGTAATTTACGCAAATAATTAGATGTAAAGATAATAACAATCTTATAATAATATTTTTTAATAAATATAATATAACATGAAATAAATAATAAAATAAATCGAATATCTTATGAGCTAAAAATTGCAATATCAATCTGAATAGAAAATAGTATGAAAAATTTATCACTCTTTAATTTGCAACTGCATTCTGATACATAAATTATTTTTAATACATAAATTGTTATTGATACAGTTATATTATTAATACGTACGTTATTCTCGAATATCGGGATCACGAAGCGACGATACAATAAACCTGTTCTCGGCTTTTATCGCATCGACTTTTATTCCATTACACATTTAACGGGGGATAAATGAATGAACGGCTGATGTGTAGATGAAGGCGATTCGATGAAGCGATATCGGATGAAATGAGTCCGGCGAGATGGACGCCGCGCGTTCGAGAATTAGCGTGAAAAATTTATAAATTGATTATCGAGCGTGAATGGCGATATCATAACGATGATGTGTTCGTTTGACGAGATCTCGCGTTGCGATGCGACGTGTTGCGTGGGCAAGCGCGCGCCTGTCGATTGTAGCGCGTAATGGATTGTAATTCTGTTTTGTTCATTCGATAGACGGACCGGATAATAATTCGTTCTCGCAAATAACTGCGCGAGAATCGACGCGTTAACGCATGAGAATTGCCGGTGGCGCGAAATACCTACCTACACCGTGCTGCATCACGGTTCAATCCGCGAGAAATCGAAATCGACGGAAAATCACGTTCCAATCGCTTCGGTGCATTTTATACAGTGAGCGTTGCAGACCTGTAAAATGTAAAATACATTTAAGATGTAGATGTATGTTCTAACGCAAAACTAGAGTCGATTTTTTAAATCGAAAATATCGCGCAGTTAATTCTAAAAAAATTCTTTTTAAATTTTTGAGAAATCGAATATTAAATTGCTAGTTTCTGTTTAATTTGAAGTAACTCTTATCTTATCATGATTGCTGTTCGACGCACACCTACCGTGATATTTTCGTCTTGTAAATTCGATATCCATCTTATTTGAGGAATATTATTTGAATCTTATTTGAGGAATATATTCGCGGAGTTTTCGCGAGATTATAATTTCGAATTCTCGCCACTCTAAGCTGCACCGCCATTTAGAGAACACGCAGCATACACAAACTATATAACCAATATGCTCTCGATCCACAGGAATATCTATTTAATGTACGCTGACCTACGTGCGGCTGCTTAGCGTAATGCGCTTGGTGCGAAACTTTCCGGTACTCCGCGGAACACGTAATAAAGTCCCAAATTTGATATCGGAGGAAACAACGATGATCACGTAGGTATACATACGGCGCGCATAATCCGCGATTGAAATGACTTTGAAATACATATTTATAGCGCACATCCGCCTTTCGCATCAACATTAAATTTTTTTAAACATTGTACACAATTTTTTATCATTTTAAAGACATCGATTTAATATCAATTTAGAAATATGACAGCGCCACTTATGAGAATATTCGTAAAGCACAAAAATGAATATCTTTTTTCCATATTTATTAAAATATATGTGAAATTTTCACTCGGAGGGAAGCAGCTTTTTCAAGATTTCTGCTTCTGACATTTGCGGGTTTTTTTTCACATCGGTCTTTTAATTATCACGGAAATACCGAGAATCGCGGGGTTATGCTTTAATAAATTCTCTTGTGCGTTTTATTCACGCGGTGGATATGCGCGGTCTCCGCGCACTTCCGGCTTTCCTAGGGCAATGAACTCTGCGGAACGTCACATTCGAATGATGATTAATCGGATTTCGCAGTATCTAGATAGCGGTGGCGCTTTATTTTCCGTCGTTTCAACGCGCGACGCTTTCAGGAAATGAAAAGAGATACGAATGGAAAAGAGAACCGCGCTCGTGACGTTTGAAAAGCCATATGGAGGGAGCCAATGTGCGGTACAAGCGCGAGTAATTAATAGAATATTTCATGCACGTTGTCGGAGACGACGTTGCTTTTAACGTCGGCTCTTGTATAAGCTGGCCTTGTGTGGCGTAATGAATGGAGCATAAGTACATATTATAGAACATAAGTCTTCTAATGCCAAAGGCGACGGTTCCCCCTTTTCTTCACATTCGATACGACCGACTTTTTCCTATCGACCCGATAGAAATTAGGTAGGTATCGCCGACACATTAAGGGGAAAAAGACTATTAACTACGCGGCCGTGGTACGCGTGTCAGAAAATAGACGAACACGAGTGCTCGATCGCGTGACTGCCGGTCGTCGCTGATGCGCCGAGATTAGACCAATCAACGTAACCTAATTAAAGAACATTCCGCTAGATTTCTTCCATGCCTCGTTAGCTCACCTCTGCAATTTTTTTTAATCCGAAAAACCGGCGATTTTGGCTGGCTTATATAGTCGGTTTATCGTTACATCGAGATTTATGCGGCGTCGCCAGCTTTAGCGTATCACGTTACTTTACACGGATAATCTTTGGCTATTTCGAGACTGAATATATAATATTCTTTTGGATAAAATCAAAATATATAAGTATATGTATACTGTCATATAACAGATAAAGAAATCTATATTTAGATAAAGATTATTCTTTCTTTTTATTTTTGTGATGCTTTTTTCAGATACGCTGTTATGTAGAATAGTAGTTCAGACATACTTGTTCTTAAATCAATATATTTTTTGAATTTTTAGGTCAAGATATACATATGATAAAAAAGAAATGAAATTTTTACTTTGATTTTTATTTCAATTAAATTTTAATCCATTTGCATAATTGCATTTCTTTATTTAGGCTTATAAATATAATTATAATTCATACATGTTCCAGGATGCTGGGTAGCGTGGGAGGTCGACACGTGTCCACGCGTCGGCGTGGCAGCAATCAGCTGGTGCGTGGAAGTGTGGGCCTCACCAGCTATAGCACCGTGCTGGGTGGCGGTCCCGGAAACGCCGACGGCGGAGCGACGCATTCGGAATCAATGCCCAAATATGCCACCAGAAGACGAAGGGCTGTCACCACCAGCGATCATAAGAGCTGCGCTCTCATACAGACGCGGCTCAAGCTTGGCGATATTATGTGAGTACTTTTATATGTTTATTAATTTCGAATTTATTTATGAACACGATCTATAGATACGTCCGATCCGGGAATTTTGCTAGAAGTAAAATTTCTCGGTAATATATAATTGATTAAGACTTTCGTGTTGCGTTTATGTGTGCTGATATTATCATTTTAGGGTATGGTAATATTACAGTGGTATTATGCAAATATTATGTCTGGAGAACGACGTTATCGTACAATATATTTCTGTCATAACAATTTTAAAAAAAGCGTTTACATGACTAAAGAATTCAGAATAAAATATTAACTGTCATCTACATATCTGTCACCTAAATTATGGTAATATATTCATCGAATTTTACATTTCGTATGGATCTTTTAGCTTTATGTTAAATATTACAATTTGACAAAGAAAATTTGTTCTATTTTTTATATTATATTAAGATAGCGCTTTTCTATAAAACAAAATGCAGAATAAAATATTTTTGGGCAAAAATATTTAAGTAAAAACCAAGATATTTTTTTACACAGATAACACTGTGCGTTAAATCGCATTCTCTTTTTTTTAGGCATATAGCATAAGTAAATTAATTATTGAATGAAGGTATAACAAAATCTCTTATCATCTGAAATTTATATCACTAGTTCACATCCGCGCAATCTGTATTACCAGCATTGTTTCAACCCCTTTCATCCTCGATAAAGCAGGATTCGTCAACCCCTATACGTTTCAATCGATCCACCGCCGTCGGTAATATTTCTCATCCCTGCATTTCCAACCCCTAAACACGAGTCAGTAAGCAAGGCATGGTAAAGCTGTCGTCTTGATTTTGTTACCCTAGCAGGGAAACAGTTTTCCAGATAAGTGACTTAGTACTCAACTGTCGACTCATTACCACCGATATATTACAATGAGAGACAATATTTAAAACATACTTATTTACCCTTTAATTATATAAATTTTTTTCACGACCCTAAAATCTCATATTTTTAAGTTAATTACAAATTCTCCAAAAAATTTAACTTATTAGATAATTTTAAACTGTTAGGCAACTTTTTTTTTATGTAAAAGAAATCCAAAGTTATATTAATTTATCACGTGAAAAGATTTATGATGGAAAAAATATAAGAAAATAATAGCATTATGCTATATTACGCAATTATAATTTTCTTCTGACAATTATATTCCGATAATTTCATATTGTATGATAACATTTAACTGTTAAGACCAGTTTTTCTCTCACTTTTTGCAAGAGATCTCTCGACTAGGTAGATTTATCCGTCAATGATAAGCCGAGCCTTCGGCCGCGTCGCGGAGATGGTGCCAGATGATGGCTGCGTCTGGCCATGCCGGGTCATGCACTACTGCGGCCGAATTAAAGTCTAATGTAGCGAGGTGTCTGTGCTCCCCTCGCGGCGTCCGTCCTCTCGTCCAGCTTTACACAGTATCGATTAGCCTTCGATTGTTTGGCCGTTACTTTCTATTTCCAGCGACGCGCACTGTCGCCGGCCGTTCACCAGCGAATCTAATTACGATCTTCCTCTGTACGCCAAAGATCGTTCTCGTGACGTTTCTCCTCGTTTCGTCCTTTTTTATACACTATCTCGGAGTAGAGCGACGGACGTCTATTTTCGAAACGAGCACGTTGATCTTCTTATGGATTCTTTTACGAATATCAGATCGGCAAAATACCGTAAACCCTCTCGTTTTACTGGAATTCAGCGAATTCCATCTTTTTACGTAATTACTGAATCTAATTATTCTTATCATCGTATTATTATTATTTTATCATAAGAGTGTCTGTATTTTTTTTTTACATTTTTTCTTTCTTCCCGAGAAAAAATTGTATAATTGGTCAGATGTAAATATATACAATTAGTTATAAAAAGATCTGAATTTTATATGATCATATAAAATTACATATGTTATTAGATCTTTTCATAACTGATTATATATATTTACATCTGACCATATTACACTATTTTTTCTCGGGTTGTTACACGGATAGTTATATGATATCTAATAAATGCTCGTGTAACTCGTCGGGGAAATCATCGTGTTAACTACTTATCTAGTATTCCATTCGGAATTGGATTAATTAATCTGGATTCTCGCCAATTACCGTTCTTTTTTTATATTTTTTTAATTAATCGGCACAGCATTATGTGAAAATATCCGTCCCATTTTCAAAACGAGTGTTTTGTATTATTAACGTATCGAAGTGCAGAATCTGGGGAATCTGGATATGTCCTAATTCTACGTTTTGGGTATAATCATTTTTCGATAAAAGGTCGAATTGGTAACGCGAATCACGGCACGACCGGCAATCGGAGTGAGCCTTCTCAAAGCGTGCTCTCTTTCTCTTCCTCTTTTTCTCCTCCTGGCTTCTCGCAAAAATAGAATCAATAAAAGGAATCGACGTTACGTGGAAGTAGGTCTGCGCGCTATCCCGCGAGTCAACTCAACAAGGTTCTCGACCTTTGCTATTAAGGGACGTATCTATCCGAGCGGCCGTGCCGCCGATCCGAGCACCCTCCTTTATTTATCGCGCTCGATTCCGCGTTGCCTTCGCGGTCGCCGACAGATCGATGCTCCGACCGATAGATTTTATTAACGAGCACGAATCGATAATGCCCGAATGCTTACATCTGCTGCACATATATATCTGCCGTTGTATACAGCGTGAAATTTTCCCGATTCGAGTAGAGAACGCAAATATCATATCAAATTGCATACAAATATACAAATGTAATGTTTAATTATGTATAACAACTTTATGATAAGTTCACGCAATTAATAATCTTGGGTTTGAACGGTGTGTGCAAAAATGTATAAAATAATACACACATATATATATATTTACTTTCTTTCTTTCTGCATAAAGAATTCAAGTAATCTCCATTTTGATATTGATTATTTATTTAACACTGATATGGGTTTATTTGAGATATATTTGGCTTGTATTTTTACAGATGTAAAAGTTTATGAAGCAGTATACAGCGTTAATTAAAACTTATCTTTTCTGAAATGTCAGTATAAATTTCGAAATTCAAATTTGCAGCAACGAATAAGTTTAATTTAGAAAATTAAATATACGTTAAAAACGCATATAAAAATTAATTTTATTTATAATAAAGCACATTATTATTCTAGAGCAGCGAAATTTTATTTTTTTCACATTACGGAAGATGACTGATTTTAATTTTTAATGCTTGACAAATTTTCTATGTAGATAAATATTTTTTTTAAATCTGAATTTTAGAATATAATTATCTGAAGTAAGCGAAGAGCATTTAAACTATATAATTTTAGAACATAGTGAAATGTTCAATCTGCATAAAAGCAGAGGAAATATTTTTAATCTCTTTGTGTGTTTATTACAAATATCTTTGTATTTTATCTATGTCGAATATATTTTTGATATACGCGCCAATGTATTTCATATATGCGCCCTTCGTACACACACTTTTATTAAGGGTCGCATAGCCGACCGCCCGTGGCTGCGGTGGTCCAATCCTACGCATTGCCGGGGTATCCCCGGCCATGTTAGGCGCATGCAAGAGCCCCGGCCGATACCATCTAACCCTGATCGGTTCTAACCCTGAAACTGAATCTACCCCCCGTGCGCTTTCAGACACGCGCCGCTACTTTTCTCGATTTTTGCACTGCTACAGTCCGCGTAATTATGCACCTTGCAGCAATGTACAAGGTGACTTGGGAACGAACGGTTTTTCGTTTAAGGCAGCGTGTTTGTTAGGACGAATCTGTTGCAAATTTTTATCCCGCAGAAATTTTTCACTGAGATTAAAATGAAAAGAAATGGGAGTAATGTAAATTTGCGTTTCAAACTGTGTCTCGAATTGTGACGTAGCTGCCTGATGATTTTCTTAGGCATTCTAAAGGGTTCTGAAATCTTCTCTTAGACATGAAAAAAAGTTACTCTTCGCCGGTGCGGGTTTAATCTTATTTGGCGTTTTTTAAAACTGTACACCGTAATAGCATTTCCCTGAGAATTGCATAAGAATTCTTTTCTGCATGACAAACTTAATTGTGTACAATGCGCTCTCTCTCTCTCTCCCCCTCCCCCCTCCCTCTCTCTCTCTCTCTCTCTCTATCATAAAAATTACCGCGCCGCTAAAGTTAAACAAGAATAATCTTCGCGGAGGGGTTCTGCATTGAGGGTCTCGCGCAGAGCTTTTGTTACCGGCTCCTGCCGCGTTGCGGAATCGGCAATGGATACAATCTTTAAGGATATTCGAAGCGATTTCAATGACGAAGGATTCGGATAAAGTCGAACCGATCGACACGACGACGTGGTCCTCGTTCCCTTCTCTTTATCTTCCACTGTTTTTTTTTACTGTCTCGATCCCCCCTCCTTGTCGCAGCGGTGAATCGAGTCGCGTAGTCGAGTCGACTCGGCGCGATCGTGTGTTTCAGGCTGGCTGCCGGCTGCCGCCGCCGCCGCTACCGTGAATCAATACCCGCATTGCGCGTGCCACCTCTCTTTCTCTCTCCCTCGTCTGGCCTCTATCACCCTCTGCCTCTTTCTCTGCTTCTCGCTCACCCTCCGCGAACCCTCAGTCGCTCTTCGTCGCACGCGCTCTTTTTCCTTCGCTCTTACATTTTCCCTCTCTCTCTTGTCTACACTTTTCTCTCCTTTTTACCGCCTTCTTTACACCTTGTCACGTTCTCTCTTCCTCCTTTATATGCATTCCTCTTGTCTTTCTTCTCGCTCTCTCTCTATCATTTTTCTTTTCTATCTCCTTTCGTCTCTCTTTTACTCTCTATTTCTTCCTCGCTGTCGCTCTATCTCTCTCTTCATTGCCACAACCTCTCTCTTTCTCTGTTTCCCTCCACGTGGTACTCGGGCAGTTTCGTCTACCTCTCTTCTCTATCTTCTATCTTTCCTAACCTCCACTAATCCATTTGTCCTTAAATTTTTCATTACATCTTTTCCCTAAATAAAGGGGACGAAGACCCGCACGATGTGAATTGGAGACAGCTGAATGGAGAA